AGAGCTGAATAATAGGGAGCTGGCAATGGCTAATGTTTACCAAGCCACAGAGCAATTCAGAAGAGCTTATTAAACATAGGAAGCTGCCTGTCATAGAGTCAGACTCGGTATCGTCTACCCAGAGCAGCAGCTCTCCAGGGTTTCAGGCATGAGTCTCCCCCAGCCTTACTGTGTTATGTCAGGGGTTGGACCTGGGACCTTCTGCATGCAGAGCAGATGCCCTACCCCTGAGCTACGGCCCTTCCCCTTATTAAGAAAAGTAGAAGTGGTTTTTGTCATGTGACAAAGACACATGAGAGCAGAAGCAGCAAAGCAGGCTGGGAAGTGCTGGGACTGTACATCATTTGGGCCTACTAAAGTTCTTTGGGCCTAACTGCTAACTGTTGCGTCACTCTGACATGTGACTTAGTAGCCAGTTTCTCTCTGCGCTCTCTGTAAGTTTTCAGTCAGAGTCAGCCTGCCTCAGCTGTGAACAGAGTCAGTATGCAATCTCATTCAAACTGTTTGGAACCATGTTGTTTATGAAGAGGTTTATTTTAACTCAGTAAAGCTCTTATTCTTTAAAAACTCTGCATTATTAATTTACACTGCGCGTCAGTTTTGTGAAAGAAAGAAAAGAGAGAAGCGCTAATCATAGTGCTAGTTGGTGGGCAAACCTATATATCTGGTCATACGCCACTCAAAATTCATTCATTCGGCTCCCCGCCATCCCCATATTTGGAGTAAACTTACAAAGAATTGGAGGAAAAACAGGCTCCTGCTGTTAACTTGCAGTGTTTCTGGACAACTGCCTTCCACCAAAAAGGGGTAACAAAGATCCTATTTTTCTGTGTGCATGCCTGGCACATTGCTGGTTGTTACTTTTCACTCACGACTATTATGGCTATTTCATTGCTTGCCATCCATACCAGTGAGCGAAGCTGGGCAGAATGTATCAGGTCTGTGCTTAAAAGTAAATCCCTACCCCTCATTCACACCAGCCTGGCTCTTCCAAGGCCCTACCCCAAAGTGATGCAACACTTTGGACCATGACCCTATTCTGTTTGGTGTGTGTGCCTCATCTTGGAAGGACTCACTCAATCTGAACACACGTGCTCACCTTGTTATTTGATTGAAACCATTGCACAGATCTACCTTCCATTCTGGGTATGATATGGATATACATAGACATTTTTCTAAAAGGACCAGGGAGGGCAGATCCCAGGAACTGTGCAAGGGCAAACATTAGCAGCCTTGCTGATCATGTTTCACAGTGGGCAAAATGGGGGCTTGTGTGTTTTGTGGGAGAAGATATCAGGTCAGAGCCCTACCTGCATGTTAACTTCTTTGGGCGCTAGAGGCTTAAACTGGTTTAACAATCATTCCAGAGTAGAATTTAGTTGGATATAGTACCTTGACTCTGAACACATGAGTTTCTTTTTTCCTGAAAAAAACAACACCCCTGTCTTATTGTGGGTGACAGACGTTGATAGATCCATCCTACAAATTTGTCCAATTAATGCTGAAAGCCAAGAAAGTTCCCAGTTATCACAACATCTTGTGGCAAGTGAATGTCAATGATCCAATGAGCAAACATCAAATACTCTGCAGTCAGAGTTTGTGTGCATGGAGAACAGAGGAAGTGTTATCTTGTCATTCATGGTAAATGGAGAAGAATGAAGAATGCTATTGATGTGGATCATACATGAGGAACCTCATTAAGTGATGATCTGAGTCATACTGAATGACAGCCAGTCCTAAACTGGCTTCCAGTTCATTTCCAGGCTCAGCTCAAGGTGCTTACATTAATGCCCAAAGCCCTAAATGGCTCAGGCCCCAAATATCTGTATCGACAGACCCTGCCAGGTTTCAAAATCAACAGAAGGCGGCCCTCTTGGTAGTTTCACCACCCTAAGAAGTTCAGGAGTGGTGGTGGCCAGGGAGAGGGCCTTCTCTGTGGCAGCCCCCAATCTGTGGAACTCCATTGTGCCATTCAGGATGCAATGTATTCTTGTGAATGCAAAATATTTTAACTGCTTTCAGTTCTGAATTTTAAATTGCTGTAACCCACCTGGAAGCAGGAAGTTTAAGGGCAGGAAATAAATGTACGTAATACTATGATGACGACAACAACAACAACAACAACAATGAATACTAATATTCAACAGCCTTGCCACAGGCATGCTGGTCTCCTTGGCAAGTATGAGGTGGAATTACCGTTAGACCCATTATTAGCAAGGTGAGTGTCACGTACAGTACATAAGAATATGACCTGACCACAAGAGTGGTAAGAACCAGTTAAAGAGGAAGTTAACACTGACTATTAAAGGGGAGAAAAACAAAACACCCTCCAAATAAGGTACAGTGAGGGTTCAGACACATTCAGTAAGAATGGGTTGAGCAGGTTGCATTTCATGGACTGTGGCTGGATGAGAGATGGTGAAGTGCTAGGGTGGTTGAAGATGATGTATACTTTGCCTATTTATTGTGTGTCCTGATAGAAAGCTCTCACAGACTCTTTGCACTCTGCCTGGTAATGCATTACTGATTGAAGTCTGACTGACTGGGAATTTGGGGTGAGTCTCCATACTTGTAACCCCAAGGGGAATTCCCCCACAAGTGCAACATACAGTTTGGCTCGCAGGGGCCTTGTAAACAAAATGTCAGCTGTAGTCCATAACTTCTGGAGGAGCACCACCATGGAGACATTGAGTGGTGAGTCTTCCTGCTGCCCTCCACATGGCAAAAGCTATTGATTTAGATCGTTGATGAGGGATACTTTGGTGTGGTGCACCACACTGGCTACATTTGGTGATGGAAATGAAACATTGTCACTTAGCCAGTATTTGGAGGAAGATTTCCATTTGCAGTGTGCACTGAACACAGATTCTTTTATAACCTTTGTGCCTTCGCTATTGCTCACCCACTATAGCTAGAGGGAATGCCATTGCACTGCACTGATCAAAAGTCTATGACCTGCAATCAAGGACAAGATCAGGCACGGAGGTTAACTGTCCCTTCTAGCACTAACATCTAAGCATCTATAGAGAGAAAGGACTGTAAAAAAATACAATAAAATCCCAGTTGTAACCTTTATGTCTCTGTTTCCCAGACCTCATTACTTGCAATTCTGCATCTTGCACTCCATGGCATCCCTCCTGAAGGACACTCTTCTCTCCATTTAACTACTTCCCTACGTGATAAGCAGCAGTTCTTTCTTTTTGAGATGTCCCATGCAGCTTGTGGCCCACCAAATGCAGCTGATCGACACACTGTATCATGGTCTGCTATGTGTGGTATCACCCGTATGTATGGTTGGTTTTGTAGCCCCAGGCTAGTAACCAAGGAAGGTGGTTTATTCAGGCTGTGGTGGGTGAACAAATAGGGCAGGCTGGTGGGCTGTGTCCAGATTTGGAGGTCATAGTCTAATCCAGGCCAGCAAATAAGGGGCAGAATTACAATCATTTAGCTGTCCAGATGGAACTGCTCTGATATCTTTTGATGAAGTACAGTATATGTATGTATGTATGTATGTATGTATGTATAGGGACGCGGGTGGCACTGTGGGTAAAAGCCTCAGTGCCTAGGACTTGCCGATCGAAAGGTCGGCGGTTCGAATCCCCGGGGCGGGGTGCGCTCCCGTCACTCAGTCCCAGCGCCTGCCAACCTAGCAGTTCGAAAGCACCCCCGGGTGCAAGTAGATAAATAGGGACCACTTACTAGCGGGAAGGTAAACTGCGTTCCGTGTGCTGCGCTTGTCACGCTGGCCACGTGACCCGGAAGTGTCTGCTGACAGCGCTGGCTCCCGGCCTATAGAGTGAGATGAGCGCACAACCCTAGAGTCTGGCAAGACTGGCCCGTACGGGCAGGGGGTATGTATGTATAAGGCTGCAAAGGTTACAGAAGCTAACTAGTAGACAGGATGCTGCCTCTCGCTGGACCAAGATAGTCTTGTGAAGGAGAATGTGATGTATCAGACTTGCAGGCCTCTTGTAAGAAGGAAGACTTTGTGATCTTAAAATGCTTGCTCACTTTCTCCAACAGAACCCTGAACAAGAAAGAAAAAGGGAAAGGGAAAGAAAGAAGGCTTAGAAATGCCTCCCTCTGCATGTTATTCCTCAGATGTTTTGGACTACAACTCCCATCTTCCTTGACTATTCACTATGATGGCCAGGGATGATGGTTAATGTCATTTGGAACATCTGGAGGATAGTACAGGGTAACATGTGCACTCTGTATCCATGGGGCCTCTTTTAAAGGACTCACCATGTACTTGGTTAGGGAATGCTGGTCCAGAGTTTCTGATAACTAACTGATATGGGCATAGCCATTGCATGTACAACATCCATGTTGAGGGCAAAGGTGAAGAGAAATCCAATATGAAAAGGTCTAGGTTAACCTTCTAGCTCAGGAAGCTGGAAGATCAGCCCAATGATAGATGAATGAGGAGTAAGGCTAGAGGAAACAGAGGGCAAATATTCAAGGGAAGGGTGGTAGGCAGGAGCCAAGGGGCATGAGATTCCCACCATGCAGCCAGTGCAAGCAAGGAAACCATGAACAACAAGGGAAAGAGGGATTAAGGATCCACAGGAGTCAAGAAAGCAGGAAAACAACATTGGGCTTGCTAGTTCAATAAGATATGTCATGTCACCTGCAGCGTGATTCTCATTTTTGTGGGACCATTTCATGACACCAACACACCAACACACACACACAAATATACTGTTGAATATTAAAGTAACACTAACCCAAGTTGATGATCATATCCATTTATGTTCAGCCCAGCTGGATTCAGAGATGTTTGGTTCCCCTCATTCCTGCCACATTGCATCAACATATCCTTTTCAATGCATTCTTTATCTACCATCAAGTTAATGGACACTGGGCAAAAAGACCCAACTAGGAACTCTTACCGAGACCTGCACACAGCAGGAGCAGCCAATTCTGTTGTGGTCTCCTACCCCACCACCCTGCTAAACTGGCATTGCACCCTGCCCTTCAAGATCTGTCCTATATCAGAGTTTAAGTTCAACATTTTATTGATGATTTGTTTTGCTGCATTAGCTATATATGCACATCTCTTCCACAACCAGCTTAATAATGAGGTATCACAATCAGTCTGAAGAGGAACATGGAACATATTCTTTTTTCTTTTTAATGTAAAGTCAGATACAACCTCCAGTTTTGACCTCCAAATAAATCAAGGACAAAGGAGGTCTCCATCTACTGAGCTATCCCCAAAAACCGTCCGTCATCAAGGTGCAACTCTCCAGTTCTATCCATTGAAAAGGAAAAGAGAGAACAAAACTGGCGTGAGTCAATTTCTCTAGTAGACATGGGGTATGTGCATATGTGTGTGTTGGAGGGTTCTTTTTAAAAAGATGTACTATTCACTGAAACGTCGTTTATTTTTATTTTTCTCTGTGTCCTTGTTGTGTTCCTATCCAAAGCTGTGTAGCACAGGGAAAATAAAGGTTGTGTGTTGGTTTTAATTACCACTGCTTCCCCCATTTATAGAAATCCAAATATGGAAAGAGACGCTGCAGAATTGTTATATTTTTTTTCCCATTCTTTCTTTTCTTTTTTCTTTTCTTTTTTTTATATAAATGTCTTCAACATGTAAATAACCCACGGAAAGGCCAAAAAAGGAAAGAAAAACAAAAAGAAAGAAAAACAAAAGAAAAAGCAGGAATTAATTACACAGTTACCAATAAAACTCTATCCTTGTGTCTGAAAAGACCAATACACAGCTAACTTCATATACAGCATGCAGTAATGTCTGCAGAAGGACCTGGCTGAGAAATAATGTGCTAGGATGCTAACAAAATAATAATTATTATAATATTTATATATATATGTATGTATATTTATATATACTATATATATATATATATATATAGCTCATAAAAAGAATAAGCATATCCATCTAACTCAAGATACAGTGAGCATCAACCTTTGTACTTCCAAACAGTATGAAGACAGTGGAAAACCTTCTTGAGTTGAACACCAGAATAATGAATGAAAACTCGATAATGCTGGTGGAGGCATTACTTGCTTGTCCTCTCTCTCTCTTTCTCTTGCTTCTGCTGGACGGGTCAAATTGTATCCAGACCCATCTGATAAACTGCCAGAGACATTGACATTCCACCTCCTTGTAAGCCAGTTAAGAATCCCATTAGCCAATTTGTTCTTAATAATAAACTTACTTTTCTCTCTCCCCCACCCCATTTTTCCTCTCTTTTTTTGTATTTTTGTGGTGTGTTTTTTATGAACTAACAGTTCTAGGCTCATATCAGAAAATATAATTAATAAAATTAATAATGACTCAGAATCCCTTATTATCCATGACATCCATGTAGTACAATGAATCAATGTCTTAACAATCATGTGATTTTGGGTCATCATCGTGTTTTCCCTTTTCCTTGAAGCTGCTTGTGGTGGCTGTTGCTTTATCAGAGTGGTTGTGGTCCTGTCATCGTTTCGTCATAGTTTGCAATCAAAGAAGCAAACTGACAGCGCAGTCCATGAAGAGGAGGGAAGGGGACCAGAGGTGTATGTGGGGTTGGGGGGAACTGTGACGTATTTTGTGCACAGGGTAGTCGACACCATAATCCTCCAGAGTTGGGCAGATTTCAGAGAAAAGAAAAACTGAGTCAGCTGCCTTGCTAGTGTGGGGATGGGCAGATGGGGATCAATGGTCACTCAGCCAAATGCACTGGTTGGTCCCCAACAGCTGCATTCCTTGTCCATGGTGAGGAAGGGAGTGGATGAGAAAAATAAAACCCAAAAGAAAGAAAACAAAACACTCAGTTGTGTTGAAACATCAGCAGAACAATTTGGACTCTTCTTCTTTTTTTCAGATTCCCTTTCTCTCTCCCCAATATTTCCTCATAATATACTCTTACTATTATGATTATTTTAAAAAAATTGTAATATTCTTCTTCTCTTCATCTTCTTTATCTTCTTCTTCTCCATCGTCATCTTATCGCCATGGTTGACAGGGTCAAAACTTGGGCAGCAGTTGCAACAGAAGGAAGGGGAGCAGCCAGATGCAGCCAACTCTTCTTGATCCGCCACTGTTCCCATCATGCACTGCTCCAGGGCCTGTGGAAAGACAGGAGGCACCATGTCAGTGAATGGAATAATAAGCAATGGAATGAAGAAGCAAACAGGCCAGAGGCTGTTATCAGCTATGGCGAAACTATGGTTATGGTTCCAAACTAACCCCTGTCTACCCTAGTCAAATTTATTTATTTATTATGTAGGAGCACAACAAGAAAACAAGGACAAAAGCTTGGTGGGGATGTGGGAGAGTGCCATCTCAGTGGCTGTTCACAGACTTTGGAACTCCCTTCCTAGATAAGCTGGCTCCCTCCTTGTTGTCTTTTCATTCACAGGTGAAGACTGTTTTATTCTGACAGATTTCTGGGAACTAATTGTCTTTTTTTTTTTTAAGGAAAGGACTTTAATAGTGCTGTGCTGTTTTTATTTTCTGTATTTTAATAGATTTATTTTTTATGTTGCTTCAATTTACTTAGAAGGGACACAGGTGGCACTAAGGGACACAGGTGGCGCTGTGGGTTAAACCACAGAGTCTAGGACTTGCCAATCAGAAGGTTGGCGGTTCGAATCCCTGTGACGGGGTGAGCTCCCATTGCTCGGTCCCTGCTCCTGCCAACCTAGCAGTTCGAAAGCACATAAAAGTGCAAGTAGAGAAATAGGTACTGCTTACTGCTCTGGCGGGAAAGTAAATGGCGTTTCCGTGCACTGCTCTGGTTTGCCAGAAGCAGCTTAGTCATGCTGGCCACATGAGCTGGAAGCTGTACGCTGGCTCCCTCGGCCAATAAAGTGAGATGAGCCCCAGAGTCGGTCACGACTGGACCTAATGGTCAGGGGTCCCTTTACCTTTACCTTAATTTACTTAGAGTTGTATTACATTCTAACAATTATCTTTTAAATGTTTTTAGCTTTCTGTGTTTTACCTATTTCATTTTAATCTGTGCAAGCTGCCTTGAGTTCCAGTCTGGAGAAAAGGCAAGATGGTGATATCATCATCATCAACAACTGCTTTGGGAGCAATGGCATTTTCCAGAGACTGTCCCCTTTCTTCATCAGCAACCATAGCTGATCAGCCAGTTTTCACAACACCCAAGTCATAACACCTGAACCAAAGCTTATTAATTATAAGATTTATTACCCACCTTTCACCATAATGTCCCAGAGAGGGTTACAACAAGTGGATATGCAATTATTTAAAGAATATACACACACACAATGAAAATACCGTACCCAAAACCATTCCAGAGTGAACCAAACACCACAAATTCAGCAAAGGAGATGCATCCCCCAAAACGAAACTCCTTAGCTGTCAAAAGCCAAAGGAAATAGGGGGATCTCCAGAGCTCAGCCACATCACTGCTTTTCCTGTGCATAGAACAGAGGGGTCTATGGTTTTCTGCCTGTCCTGTCTTTTCTAGGCATGGGGCTGAGCGGTTTTGCCTTTGCCCTGCTGCTTTCTCCCAGAAAACCTGTTATTTAGCGCTGAATCAGAACAAACAGCAATCCATAGAAAACCCAATTGTCTTTCGTTCTGACTCAGCATGAAACTGTGGGTTTTCCTGGGGGAAAGTGGAAGGGCCAATGGAAATGTAGACGAGCCCTTGGTGAAAGCTGCACAGTGAAGGTGACTGACACACCTTGTTGGGGAGGGAGTTCCACAATTTAGAGTCTGCTCCATGGAAATATCTCTACTGGCCTGGTTTCTCTGTGGTGGAACTGCCAAGAGATTTCCCCTTAGCAGATCTTAACACACGAAGAAAGCGGAAGAGATGGGGATGGCCTTTCATATATTTGAGTCCTAAGTTATTTAGAGTTTCAACACTAATGCGAGTAATGCAGGCTGAGGTTCATTCCTGCTTGCTCTGAAGTCCCCATATTATTAGACCTGCCATGGCACAAGTAACATATTCTGTATACTATCAGTCCTTTACTTTTCATTGTGAAAAATCAGAGTGCTCCAGCTTACAAATAAGCAGTTAGAAACCCTTAAGGAACATATGAAGGAAGCTGGCTTATACTGAGCCAGGCAACCGATCCATTTGGCTCAGTATCATTGAGACATTGACTGGCAGCAGATGTCCAAGATTTCGGTGGGAGGTCACCCAGCCCTATCTGGAGAAGCCATATATCAAACATGGGACCTTTTGCATGCATGCGCTGAAGCATCACTGAGGTACAACCCGCCAAGGAAGAAGATCAAATTTTCATGGCATCGTGAACCCTTGGAGCATCATACACTGGAAAACTAATGGCCAAACCACACAAAAATAATACTATGGGTGGAGAGACCCAGGATGAAAAGAAAGTCTGCCCAATCATCCCACTGTTACTCTCTTGTAAGCACATCTGTCAACATGTTGCTCAGTTCTGCTGAGTCAAATGCTTCTTCCCTTGTCAGTCTTGCAAAGATTACTTCAATCTCTTTTATGTACCATGAGACATTTTAAATCCCGTCACAACATGCTATGTAAGGTGAAACTGAACGCTCAGAGGTCCAGAGCCTCTTGATGTGTGCTTCCGAACATGTGATTCATATGTTTGAATTCATTCATATTCATTCAAAGAACCATCTGCTCCCACATAATCCTGTTCGTCTGCTGAACATCTCCAGGGAGGCCCTGTTCTAAATCCCATCACTGTCTGATGTGTCTCTGGTGACAGCCCTTGGTATATCTGGCCCCTTCCTTGTTAACCTTTCAATCTCTTGTGAAGACCACCTTCTTTAAATGTGCCCCAATGTGCCTTTGGTACTGGTCAGATGTCCGCCACACACGGTGTGGTTTTTACATGACTGCCTCCTGTTTCCATTTCTTCATTGCTCTGCTTTTCGGCAAATGACCTTTAAGTAGCCACCCCAGAGCAGCATATTTCAAAGGGAGACTGTGCCATGAAACCTGCTGACTATATCAAGACTTTTGGATTGAAGCAAGACAAAGGATTTCGAGCACATTGTATGCAATAATTGGCTTACCCATGCCAGGATGCCTGTGTCTTCAAAAATGGTTTTATGAGCTGCCACTGTTAAACACTAAATTATCACTTTCTGTTTTTTCCTGCATTTGAGTTCCCTTTATCCTTTTTTTATAACAACATCCTCCCAACCATGTATATATGTACTTTCAGATCAGGGTAACACTTCATGCATCTGATGAAGGAGACCACAGTCCACAAATGCTTATGCCCCAAGATGCCCCAAGACACTTCGTTGCTTGTTTGCACCTGCCTCGTTTCTTGGTATAGCATAGTTTTCCTAGCATAAATCCCAACTTTGTAACTTACTATTAAATCTGTACTGATGATTAAACACCTCCAAACACAAATGTTTTCTATCTCCATTAAATCAACTGGCGTTATCACACTGGAGCTGGACCAGAAGCCCTAGAAAGCCTCAGCTACCAGTTTCTTGAAAGCGAAGTTGGATCCTTTGAAATTTCATAACAAGCATTCAAGGGAGCCAAGCACAGAGCTGCATGGAAGGAGATAATGGAGCTCTTGCTGCCAAAACAGCCATCAATGACGGCAGAGTCAACAAAGGAGCCGAAGTGGCCCAGCCTGGCCTTGGCAATGGCTTCTCTCCAACATTAATTCCTTAGCGCTCATTAAGGAGGGATGTGATGTTCCAAAGTGGCCAACAAACAGGCCCAGTGGTATCCTAGGGAAAAAGCTATTAAGCATCAATTATCCGCCGAGAGCATCTGAGAACAAAGAAACAAATCATCTGAGAATGATTGGCCTGGAATACCCTGCTGAGTTTTCATTCCAGGTGCCAACTTTGAAGTGTTAAGGCACGCAGAGGGATGTTAGGGTGGCTTCTCCACACTGATGAGGATCCCTTTCCCCAGGGACTTCCAAATTTCAAGGGAGAACGTCCGCAGGCAAAGTTTCAAGGCTGGCTTATAGTAGCCAGGTCTAAGCTGGTGTATAAATCAAAAGTAGACAATGTTCAGGGTGTTTTGGACTACATGGCCAACATGGCTAATTGTCAGGAATGATGGAGTTGTAGTCCAGCAATATCTGGAGCACACCGCATTGTCTATGCTTGCTGAAAAAAAGTTCCATCCTGAGGGAAACTCTGAGCGGGGGAGATATAGATGTCATTTGGTCAGAAACATAAAGATATTCCATTAAGTTCTTCTACCTCTCAAAAGTGCACACCCTACTTCATAGAAGAGCTGAAATACCTCCATACCTTTGGCTTTGTGAACTACAACTAAGACAATAAAAATGCAGTGGACATTTTGATCAGGATTTAGCACATGTGGAAATAACATTATTTGACTGCTCTTCAAATTCATTACTGTACATTTTAAGGCCAGTACCTGACTGTATAAAATGACTCTTCTCTACTAGACAGCATTGCATAAAGTGATGTGAGGAGATAAGGGCATTTAGGTGCTGTAGCTGTTCAGGCCCACTCACACATGCAGCAAACCATGTTTTGATATCACTGTCAATGCATGATGAAAATGTATGTATAAACCAGGCCTGAGATTCTGAATAAAGGTAGACTGGAAAACCATTGTAATGCTTCTCAGGTCACAGATGAGTAATATATAGGATGTGTTTTGGGGGTTTGGGAGAAAAAGGGATTAGGAGAAGTGGCAAAGCAAGGATAGCGGGTCACACAGCAATGGAAGCAAAAGCTGTGTAAAGAAGATCTGTAAATTAAGCTGAAAGAAATGAGGACTAGCCGTATTATTCTGCAATAAGGATGACTGGTGACAGGTGAAGTCTTGCTACAAAGCAGATTGTTTGAAAGCAGGTGGCAGAAAGCCTTCAGGTATTCAGCAAAAAGAGGCAGAGGGTTGGTACGAAAGCTGACAAAAGATTCAACACGGCCAATGATGGGCCGTTCGATCCATTGATGTTAGCTTAGCCACAGAGGAAGGGAGAAGAAACAGAGAAAGACGGAGAGGGATGGCTGAGGTTCAAGGCCAGAAGTTGGGGGAGCAGCAGCAGGTTTGTGGGTTGCTGTTGTTTTACTGACCTTTCCAGGGTGTCTGAAGTGTGGTTGTCTCTTCTACAAAATTAAAGAAGAAGTTATCAATAAAGCAAACAAAAGGCCCTCGAAGTGTTCCACCCTGCTCTGAGACACCTTCAACCTTCCGGTTTGCACTGCTGTGATTTCTTGCAAACTTCTGCTAAGGCTCTCTCTTTTCTTATCTCTAAGCTGGTTTTGTGCTTTTCCAGTCACAGACAGTTTACAGAGGGTTAAAAGATGGCAAATAAGATGCTCCAGGCATTGCAATTTTCATCATGTTGCTCATAACCCAGGCTCATAATCACCGTCTCTCAAAGATTTCTGACCTTTTAAAACTCATTGTCATCTTTGATCTTGGTGCAACTGCAAATCGTTTGTAAAGGATTAGTAAAATAGCTACATTTTTCCTCATGAAATAAAATTATCAGTTAGCTACTGCTGCCTATGGAGAAATTAGATAGATAGATAGATAGATAGATAGATTAGATAGATAGATGATAGATAGATAGATAGATAGATAGATAGATAGATAGATAGATGATAGATAGATGATAGATAGATAGATAGATAGATAGATAGATATAGATAGATAGATAGATAGATAGATAGATAGATGATAGATAGATGATAGATAGATAGATAGATGATAGATAGATGATAGATAGATAGATAGACAGACAGACAGACAGACAGACAGATAGATAGATAGATAGACAGATGATAGATAGCTGGGAGCAGAGGTCAAACACAGTTCCTTGCTTGACTTGTGTACCTGGGATGCTATGCAAATCTGTGTTTGCAATGCACAAACCTTGGGTTGGATGCAAATGTGACAAATACAGGGCAGAATAGAAAGCAATCCCCACACCTGATTAACCTGTGTGTCATTTGCTCTTGAACACTTTGAACAGCTGTATGTTAAAATACAGTGCCTATAGCAGTGTTTCCCAACCTTTTTTGGGCAAAGGCACACTTGTTTCATGAAAAAAATCTCGAGGCACACCACCATTAGAAAATGTTAAAAAATTTAACTCTGTGCCTATATTGACTATATAAAAAGTACAGTGGTGCCTCGCAAGACGAAATTAATTCGTTCCGCAAGTCTCTTCGTCTTGCGAGTTTTTCGTCTTGCGATGCACGGTTTCCCATAGGAATGCATTGAAAATCAATTAATGCGTTCCTAGGGAAACCGCCTTCAGACCAGGTCCGGGGACAGTCTGTCCCCCGACCTCTTCTGAAGGCTGGGGGGGGGGACAAGGGCTTTTCTTCCCACTGCCAGCCTTCAGAAGGCTGTTCTGAAGGCTGGCGGTGGGAAGAAAAGCCCTTCTTCCCACCTCCCGCCCCGCAAGCTCCGGGGACAGGAGGGCTTTGCTGCCGACCGCCAGCATTTTAAAAGCCCCTGCTGTCCCGGGGCGATTTTAAAATGCTGGCGGGCGGGAGCGAAGTCTCCGCTGCCCCGAGGAGATTTTAAAATGCTGGGGGTCGGCAGCGAACGCTTCGCTCCCACCCGCCAGCATTTTAAGATCGCCCGGGGCAGCGGAGAAGTCTCCGCTGTCCCGGGAAGGCAGGCGGGGGGAGCAAAGACTTTTACCCCCGCCTGCCTTCAGAAGAGGTCCAGGACCTCGTTCCGATGCCCGGTGGCGGGGTGCGAGGTTCCCGCCCCACCGCCCGGCATCGGGGCATTGTTCCGATGCCCGGCGGGGGGGGAGAGGTTCCCGCCCCACCGCCCGGCATCGGGGCATCGTTCCGATGCCCGGCGGCGGGGGGAGAGGTTCCCGCCCCACCGCCCAGCATCGGGGCATCGTTCCGATGCCCGGCGGCGGGGTGCGAGGTTCCCGCCCCACCGCCCCGCTTCGGAGCAGCGTTCCGAAGTGGGGCGGCTGGGGCAGGTGTTCCCGCCCCCCCGCCCCGCTTCGGAGCAGCGTTCCGAAGCGGGGCGGCTGGGGCAGGTGTTCCCGCCCCCCCCGCCCCGCTTCAGAGCACCGGGAGAAGCGATCTCCCCGCAGCCCCTTGCTTCAAAAGAGGTCCGGGGGCAGCGGGGAAGAAGCGCTGCGCTTCGCGCTGCCCCCGGACCTCTTTTGAAGCAAGGGGCTGCGGGGAGATCGCTTCTCCCCGCAAACCCTTGCTTCAAAAGAGGTCCGGGGGCAGCGCGAAGCGCTTCCCGCTGTCCCCGGACCTCTTTTGAAGCAAGGGGCGGTGGGGAGAAGCGATCTCGGGCGCCGCGGCGCGCAGGCACACTGCTCGCTCCTCTTTCCGCGCAGGCGCCTTCTCTCGCTCTTTCGCCTCCTTTTCTTTCTCTCTCGATGGTCCGCCTACAAAGGAGCGAGGGAGGCGCCCGCCATGTTTGGATTTGCATCCAGCAGGAGATGCCGCCGCCGCCCCGCCTCTCCCGCCTCCCTCCACGGCACACCAGGCAAGGTCTCACGGCACACTGGTGTGCCGCGGAACACCGGTTGGGAAACACTGGCCTATAGTATAAATTATCTTACAGAAACATGCCTTTCACATGGAGTGTTTGCTTTAACATCTGCATATTTTGATATTTGCATCAAATATATTTTTTAACCAAAAAAAGTGGGTGATATAGAAGGAAACCCCAGAAGAACAAAATCACAATGCATGAAAGAGAAGAGGGGGAAGCCTGCAGGTATGATGTTTATTAGACCGAGATTTCTGTATCTGGAGTGGGGCATTGTGTTATGATGCAGGTTTGATGATGATGACGCATAACACTTCTATAATGAGTTTGAGGATTCCCACAGATCCCTTTGCTTAACCCTTACAACAACCTTGCAAAATAGATGAATATTACTAATCTCATACTCTAAATGGTTAGAGGCAGATGGGGCTCATCAACCTGGGAAGGTAGCTCATCTAGGAGAAGGTAAACTGATCCTAAACCTCTACTGCCTTGTGGCTATACTCATTCATGAGAAAGGCATTGGGAACAAACCCTGAGAAAAAAAATCATACCCACTGCCTTGTGGGACATCTTTAGGTGAAGAAAAATCTAAGGAGTGGCATCCCTAAGATTTTGTTCATTTCACATTTGAATGTGCATCTACCTAATTCATACTTCCTAAAACAGGATGCCAACCAATATGCAGCTATCCCTCAAAATCTGCACTTCTCTATTTTTATTTTTTAGCAATGCAGTTCTCCGACAACAACAACAAAATGTGTAAAAGAATGCATATATTGCAAGAAAGTTTAGTTGAGAATGCACTGATTCACGAACGTTAACAAACAAAATGTGTTATATTGGGGTAATTGCTTGCAAAAATATGTATATTAGGCAAAATTGAATGGAAAAGGTGTGTGTTAGGCAAAATGTGAACTGAAATGTTGATGTTTTGAAAGGGCTTTTTAAAAAATGCAACATGGAGATGTTGTGAAGAATTGTGCTTAATATTGGGAGGTGTGGGAGAGGAACACAGAGGAACCAAACCTTGCATATTAGTAGCCAGTGACACCAACAGTCATACTCTAAAGGATGGAAAAGTACAAAGTATGAGATCTGGACAAATAGATGGGTGCTGAAGAGATGAATTTGAGAAGCTGGTTTGCTGTAAAGAAAACTGATCACACTGCCACTTTTGTATTGTTTTGTGCTGATGTCACTTAGGAGAAGTAAGCAATCATGGTGGGGTGTAGGAAGCAACAAGATGCTTTGCAGGGACCATGAGCAATGGAGGAAATGCTGGCATCTTCTGCATCATACGTTCAGCTTGCTTCCATGGGACAAAATGTTCTCTGACACATTGAGATGACAGAAGACTCAGCTCTATATGCTCAGCTCTAATATCCACTGGCCTCCTCAATCTGGCAACTGAAGAAGCAACTCATGCCACAGACAACAATAAGATGGTCTAGGAACTTGCAAAGCCAGAGAGCTTAAAAGTTTGTCTCACGGGTAGAATCTGGGTAGGTGCTATATAAGTTTTGCAGCATGAGGTTTCTTTCTTTTTCTTTAAAAAGGAAAGTAGGTTTATCTTGTGGTTTTCGGCTGAAGAGAGAAACCTAAACCAATATGTAGAATAGGACACAAGTACAGACACATTCTCTGTGCACTCCTGGTTAAGGATGTTCTCACTCCAAATCCAGGTTATAGAAGACTTTAGATCAGTTGTAAGGAGTAATGACTCATGGTACCCATGATATGGGTTGACAGTGCACAGTCTGTATTATGAATTGTACACTACTCTTCAGTCTGTGTGCAATACACACACAAGCAGAACTAAATAGGTGGTGCAGAAACACCTGGTCTGGGGGTGCCTAAGGAAACATAGGAGGAGTTGTCCTGTTCATTCTCACATGAACCACACGAAAGAGAAGAATGTAAAAGTTAAAATGGGAGGTGGAGGTGGGGCAAGGTTAAAATACTGTTCACTTAAACAAGGAAATCGATCCTTTGGCTCATAGCCAACACCAACTTTTTTTATTTGAAAAGATGAGATATTGTCATCCAAGTGCCCATGAACATACATACTCCACATGATGCAAATGATCCAGCTCATGTATCAAGGCCAAGGTGGTCTTTCAGGTAACCTAACCCTAGATCATTTATATCGCATTAATATAGCTGGGTCATTTTCCAATTAGTTACAAAACCTCTTATGCCTACAGCTTCCAACCATTTCTGCTTTGGATCGTCCAAGTGATTCCCATAATGCTCCAGAAAATTAACTCCCATCTATCTTCTTAAAAAACTATGCATAAACAAACAAACAAAAATGTACACACACCCCTTGCAAAGACCACCCTGTGCCCTGTTGCCCCACCCCGTAACACTCCTTTCATTGGAAAAATGCAAAATTGGCTAGAGCTGGTATATAAGCTTGTGGTACTTACATGGCAGAATGTAGGGAGGCATGAGGAGAAGACACACACAAGGAAGCCATGCAGGAAGAAGAAAAGAAAGAGAAAAAAGGGGGGAAATAGGGGGGGGGGAGAAGAAAGAACAGATGAGTTAATAAATAAGTTTTGCTTCTTGGAATGTGGCAGCTACAAACCAGTGTTGATTCCGCAAGGTGGGAGGAAATGCAGATCGATAGAGACAAACCACATTCAAGTCCTAGTATCAGTGATGAAATCTAATGGAGGTCCGTGGACCAGGGACCAAAGTTAGCTCCATTCCTGGGATCATATCTCTCCAAATGAAGATGGGGAGGTAGGTTGGGGAGCTGGCCACGTTTGCTAGGATTCTTCCCCCGCCTGCATTCTGTTAGCTGGTTTTTTTCCATCAGACCTATTTAAACACCTGGATTTGGGGCATGCTTTCACCTCACAATCGTTCCTCTTCATCTGCCAGATGGTGCAACTTGGGGCCACTTTCTGCCAGTTCCACATCTCCTTCTGCTGAAATTCATCCCCCCCGCCACCATGCCATCAATTAATTAACACTGCCGTTTCCTTGTTACATGTTATGCAGTGATTCCAAATGTACTGCCTTGTTTTGTTTTCGCTGCAAGAGTATCAATAAGGCAGCAGCTGATCATTTTGTCAGCCCAGTCGGCAGGCAGTGGCAAAAAGGACATTCATGCCATGCTTTAAACACTACAAAATTATATAGAGATTAATTCCATGGTGGGGGAGCAGCTCTCTTGTGATCCTGCATAATATAGGATGGCTTTGAGCCCTGATCAAGGCTGGCCTACCCATACACTTTTAAGGGGAGCTGGGGGAACAGATCCCAACAAAGAATCAGAGATTTGGGAGGGACCCAAAAAGTTATCTGGTCCCATCGCCTACAATGGATGCTTCTGCAAACCTCCACCATAACTATGGAACAGTGATGAAGGAGAGATTGGGCCCATTCTAATTCCATACACACAGTGGTGTAGCATGGGGAGGGATAGTGACCCCTGGTGCAAAATTCTGAGGGGGTGCAATCAGGCACCCTGTTCTGCAGGGATTCCCACCCCGGCCAGGTGGCAAAGCAGCCCAGGCCCATGGTGAGTGGCTGCAGACAGAGGGAAGCTGGCAAGTGGTGACCCCAGCACAGCACGACCCAGCACTCCTCTCTGCGGGCGTCAGGGAGATTTGGCCTCGCTTGGCTCTGGTGGGGAGGGGGCTCTCCAGCGCCTGCTGCAGACACACATCTACTCTGCAAACCTATATTGGTTTTATATTAATTTTCATTTTATGGCTCCTCAAAAGAATCCTGGGAAATGTAGTTTGGTGAGGGCACTCAGAATCATATGTTGCAGATTCCTGGCACCACCCATATAACTAGACCCACTTACTACAATTCCCATTAGTTCCAGTCAGCAGGGCTAATAGTCAAGGATGATGGCAGTAATAGTGTAGCGACATCTGGAGGACAAAACAAGTTGGCAAACCATAACCTAGTGCGACACACTGAGTCCCAGATGTTGTTGAACTACAGCTCCCATCAGCCCCAGTCAGCATGCACAATGATGATAAGAGCTGGAGTCCAACAACATCTGGAAGGGTACCCTGCCATAGATTTTCTGTGAGGGACATGCAATGCTCTGTTTGTTGGAGGGCTGGGAATTTTATTCTCTACCTGATTCTCCACCAGCAAAATTAAGGTCATTTTGATAAATATTATTAAGAGTGATCCAAAATTCTCCAACCATTTCAGGAGGCTCTTAAAAAAATAAATACGCCCAGAACATTTCTCATAAAATTCTTGTTTTAAGGATGTTTGGCACTGCTCTAGTATAAGCCCTGAACTCAGAGACTTATGATGGGAATATTGAAGAGGTTATGTACATTCTAGGTTTAAACTGATTTTAGGAAAGCTTGTGATCTGCAGTTTTGTGAGTCATTTCTTCAGATTATTATTCTCACGATTCTTTGGGTAGGAAAACTTGATGGTCAAAGTGGTTAGGGGATGGGGACAGGGATGGGGATGCTGTAGCCCTCCGTATGTTGAGTGGGCTACAACTCAAACCATCCTTGGCTCTCCAGATATTGAATGGGATGGAACTTCCATGACCCCTAACTCTCCATACATTGTTGGGCTAGAACTCCCACCATCCATAATGCTTGTCAGGATTGATGAGAGTCGTAGTTCAGCAAAAACTGGTGAGCCACAGGTTCCCCATCCCTGGTATAAAGGCAATATGAATGTTGCATGCAGATACACTTTTAGTTACTTGAGTCTAATCTGTGAGGGAGGAGAAGGAGATATGGAACTGGTTACTGAAGCTCTGAATCACTGAGTCAACAGATCAAACATGACATGATGGAGACAAGGAGACCAATCAGAGCCTGCAGTCTCTTGGGTGCTCATCAGGAAGTGGTACCGTCCTCCATGCAAATCGGACAAGGGAAACAGGCAATGTATAACGAAGGGTGGCGGCGGGTAGGGAGGTTGCAAATAAGGGAGCGGAAGGTGACATACAGCAAGAACAATACTGACCTTGGAACAAGGTTGAGCTTGTGGGCTCACTTATTTCTAAACCAGGTGAGGAAACAATGGAAGAGAAAAATGAAGATAAAATAAAAATAAATATATCGTTTCATAATTACCACTCCATGACCACAGTGCCGTGTAAATAAGAAATGGGATGGAGAAGGTGTGGGTGGCAGTGGGAGGGCTGTGAAGTAAATGGGCAAAACAGAGAACAGCACTTTTTGAAAGTGAATGAAAGGAAGCATGAAGAAAAAGAGATGGAAAGGATGACATACTTTTTAATGCCAGCCTTGCAAAAGAGCCCATTTGGTCACCGGAGAGGCTGGGGATCACAACCTGTTCCTAGGCCTACACATCACTTTGTGCAATACCTTGATATCATCCCATATTATTGCCTGTTTTGAAGACTGCTACAGAAGAGGAGTATGTCCAGCCCATAAGACAGATAACAATTTATCTTCAATGGTCAGGGAAGGGAATGTTTAACCTCAGTTGTTGCTTTCCCTTTCCCACATCACCTTAGCTGTATTTGTCAGCCAACTCCATGTTTCCTGTGTCACAGGGGAAAGTGCTAGGGCAAGGGTAGGAGAGTTTCAGGGAAGAAGTGATGGTTAGTTGATACCATGTCCACAAATTCTCTCCTGCAAATCACAGCCTCTTCTCACTGCTTTACAGTTTTGGGTGGTCACTGACTGCCTTTTGTGGAGGGGAAGTTCTACTATGGAACCAAAAGGCAGATATGAAAAGCCTTAAATAAAATTAAACACCAAGGAATAATTGGGCTTCCCAGTTTCCCAGTTCACACCTCACAGCTTTCAGCTCTCTGCATGAGGGCCCCCTTTAATATAACAAACACAATAGGCCAACCCTGTAAAATCTCAGAGGAGACTTTTCAATGGCCAAAGAGGTCAAATGGATGAGAGATATTCTCCTCAAACCACCCTACCTCTTCTTGAAGGTTCACTCATTAGATTCTTTTCCTGAAGGATTTGTGTGAGAAAATAGTTCCTTCACATCTCCATCCATGGAAGTGGATGGTAATAATCATTTGTGTGCTTAAATAGCACATCTCAAGTATTCAAAGCACTTTGCATAACTTATCTCAATCATCTTTACAATGGCCCTCGAAAGCAGCCCAGCATTTTATGTGGGTGTTGAGGCTGAGAGATTGGGGAATTAGGCAAAACTTGAATTAGGGCCTGCTCCGCACACAGCCTTCTCTCTTAGCTGCCAGCCTACACACCTCCTCTCACAACCACATTAGCTCTGCTGAGCTTATTCTTTTCTCCTTCAAATGTGGCACAACAGGTTGTTTATGGAGGAATGCATTGCCCTCCCTCTTCACCATTTAGGAGCACAACTGCTCAATCAATTAAGATTAATGAGCAAATCAGGATTCTGCACTTTTTGGTCAAAACTGCAGGTCACCTGTGATGGCATGACACCTCAGGGACCTTGTCATGCCTCTTCCCTATTGATTTTAGCGCAGCATACCCCCATATTCAAAACATGGAGTCTGCGGTTGCCCCTAACAACGGTTGGGCCTAGAATTCTGGCTCTCAACAGGAGACCTCTTATGAAATTAGCTTCCCACTAGATTAAGGCACTATGCGGAACCAAAGTGAAGTCCTGCAGAGTTTACAATGTAGTCACACAAAAGGTGTTGTGGGAGGGTGGTGCGGAGGGGAAGAAAGTGATTTGCTAAACTAAGATTAGTACAGGATGGTACAGTGGGACCCTGCTGTAGTTTAATTATCTGACGATCCCTCTGTGAACAGCAGACTGATTCTCTGCCCCTGCATTGAGCTCCTTTAAGGCTCTCCGCGGTTCGTGAGATGGTGGTTGTTCCTTTATTGCATCTTAGTGGTGGGGAAATTAAAACACCTGCCTCACCTAAGAAAGAATAACCACTCTACATCTTGGATTTGTTCAGGGAAGAAATGTTCAACAAAGGGAAGAACGATTGCTGCTTTTGGCATGATTGTCTGAGAGTTAGTTTTTGCCAACTAGGGAGTCCAGTCTGACCAAGGCTATGCACAAACCATACATTTCAAACATATTTCAAGCACATGGCTTCCCCCAAATAATCCTGAGAACTGTAGCTGATGCCAGCATAGCTGAAATTCCCATCCTCCTTAACAAACTACAGATTCCAGGATTCCCTTGAGGATGTTGTGTATTTTAAATATGCTTTAAATCATAGAATCATAGACACATAGGGTTTGAAGATACCCCCAAGGGTCATCTAGTCCAATCCCTTGCAATGCAGGTACCACATCTAAATAATCCATGACAGATGGCCATCCAACCTCTGTTTAAAAACCTTTAATAAAGGAGAGTCCCACCTTCCAAGGTAGCCTGTTCCACTGCTGAATAGCTCCTCCTGTTCTAAGCCATACAACAAAATTCAGTGGAATAAAACACCCACCACAATTTTGACATGGATTTCAGTGAAGACCTGGGGCTCACTTATCAGAACCTTTCATAACCCCCATTGTACTAGGCTCCTCTAGAACTGTCCCAAGGTCTTGTGCAAGCCTGTGACAGCAGTGATGTGCACCAAAGCCTACAAAGGCTTCTGGGCCTACTAGGTAGCTACACGGTGCATATCTGAGGAACATACACGGAAGAGGACTGAAAGCCTTGGACACTGTTGTATTGCCTGTGGCAATTGGGGAACTGTAATCCATGCAGTGCAGGCAACAGCAATCTCACAAGATCCCTGGGCTCAGATACTTATGCTATTGGTGTGGCTTCTGGGGAGGCCTCATATAATCTGGAACAATGTGGGATCTGAGACACGTAGAACTCCCTGCCCTAAAATAGGTAAAGGTACCCCTGCCCGTATGGGCCAGTCTTGCCAGACTCTGGGGTTGTGCGCCCATCTCACTTAAGAGGCCAGGGGCCAGCACTGTCCAGAGACACTTCCGGGTCACGTGGCCAGCGTGACATCGCTGCTCTGGCGAGCCAGAGCCACACACGGAAACACCGTTTACCTTCCCACTAGAAAGCGGTCCCTATTTATCTACTTGCACCCGGGGGTGCTTTCGAACTGCTAGGTTGGCAGGCGCTGGGACCGAGCAACGGGAGCGCACCCTGCCGCGGGGATTCGAACCGCCAACCTTTCGATCGGCAAGCCCTAGGCACTGAGGCTTTTACCCACAGCGCCACCGGCGTCCCCCTAAAATAGGTACTACCCATGCAAATCCACCACTGACCTCTGGTAGTCTCTAGAATTCAACTCCTAATACCAGTTTAGGTCCAACTAAGAGCCAAAGTACCTAATAATAATACCAACTGCACCATAGTAGTCACTCCTTGTGGTATTTCCACCTACCAGTTTCACCTTGGGAAACTTGGGCTACATGGAATGGGGCTCAAGAGTACTCACAATTTGCAACCTTGCCCTGACACAAGAAGAGCCTGTTGGATCAGGCCAATAGGTCAGCATCCTGTGCTCATAGTGGCCAACCAGATGTCTGCAGGAAACCTTCCAACAGGACCCAAGTACAAGAACAATCAACCCACCACACCCCTGTGGTTTCCAGCAACATATATTCAGAATACTGCCTTAGACTGTGGAGGCTGAGCATGACTCTAGCCACCATTGATAGCCTTGTCCTCCGTGAATTTGTCTCATCCTCTTTCAAAGCCATACACGTTGGCGGCCATCACTGCCTCCTGCGGGAGTGAGTTCCAGAGTTTAACCATGTGCTGCACGAGGAAGTACTTTCTTTTCATCCACCCTGAATCATCCAACATTCAGCTTCATTGGCTGTCCACAAGTTCTAGGGTTATGAGAAAGGGAGAAAAACTCTTCTCTACCTACTTGGCTGTGACATATAACTATGACAGGCACAAGCTAGCTTCATTTGACATTGAGAGTACATTTGGTAGCAGAATTTTTTTTTGCAAGGCTGTATGACAGAACGTTGTGATGCATGTGATGGGAGAGATGTCATCAGGAATTAATCAATCAGCAGTATAAAACATTTTAGGCCCTGGTGTGGACACAAACACTTGCTGCCCCATTGCTTGGAAAGCTGCATGGGATCAGCCTCTTGAAGAGACTGCTTCTTCTCTTACACCCCCCTCAGAATGCTTACCTCCCACCACACGAATTTCCCTTGTCTTTCTAGTTTCTTCATTGTATGACAGCAGCAATGACATTTGTTCTGAGTGACAGGGATGGAAGGATCTGTCAATTTTTGTTCCCTTGGTTTCTCGTTTTGCCAGTCCACATTTTGCAGCAAGTCCCATTGTGTTTTTCTCCTAATAAACACATATCCTTATGCAGTTTTGACCAATGCACACATTTTAGCACACGTTACCCTGATATGTGCATTTTTCCCCCAAACATCATTTGGCTGGCGAAATGCAAAGCAAAATTTGGGTAGGCTCATATTCTGCAGGACTGCTGTGTTTCCTTTTGCATATTATTTTGGAAAGTGTCTACCGGATAGATTCGACTTGAGTGGAAGCCTACATTGAATTGCTCCTCCATCCCTACTCAGTGACTTCCATGCCGCTGCCTCCTACGAATGACTCTCCAAATCCAGACCCTGGGCATTGTTTTTAAAAAGAGTTATTTATTTATTTAATCTATTTAACAAGGCTTATATGCCACGTAATCATCAAAAAACATTCAAGAAGTTTCCACAAAACAACATAAATTAGGTAAAGGTAAAGGGACCCCTGACCATTAGGTCTAGTCGTGGCCGACTCTGGGGTTGCGGTGCTCATCTTGCTTTATTGGCCAAGGGAGCCGGCATGCAGCTTCCGGGTCATGTGGCCAGCATGACTAAGCCACTTTTGGCGAACCAGAGCAGCGCACGGAAATGCCGTTTACCTTCCCACCGGAGCAGTACCTATTTATCTACTTGCACTTTGACATGCTTTCGAACTGCTAAAATCAATACTGAAAATAAGTGTTGACATTCGATTCCTCTGAATTTAAGAAAAAGGAGCAGGTTTTTTAAAATGACATAATAAACTAAAATGACATGTTAAAACGGCATGTCTGACTTTGCTTTCCTAACATTTTAAAAAATCAAACACTGAAAACAGTATTCTCAGACACCTGCTTAATATCAATAGGCAACAGTTCTAGAGTGTAGCTGCTGGCTTGTGTATGGGGTAATTGTAGTACATGTGCTGTCCCATTTGCTGCAGTTTCTAACATGGCATTTTATTTATTATTATTCAAATGGAGGGTGGATTGTTCTTGTTTTTCAAGCCCTCTTGCCTATCCCAAGCCTTCAGGATAGGCTGATGGAAATCTAACTAAATCAATCATTTAAATCATAAGTAACTAAAAAATCTGGGACCCTAATTTCTCACCATCCCACTTGTGACATACAGAGAGATAGGCAAGCTGAAGCCCATATAGGCAGGGATTTGGGTTTCTACATTTCTGTGACATCAGACTGCCACTTCAGATTTCAACAGGGCAAGAAAATGCTAATTCACTTGGGAAAGATTCTCAGCAGCATTTGAAGGCCCGCTCTTAGCTAGATTAATTTTCCAAACATGCAAATCTACAGTTCTCCAGTGTCTGAAGAGAAATGAAAGGGAAGGGCTCCTTAACCATATTTCTGCTGAAATACAAAGCGGTGTATAAATTAGCTAAGCAAATAAAAATCCCACTTGAGCCATTTTCTCACTAAAAATGACCTTTCCCCTGTTGCTTTTCCACACAGAGAGAAAAGATGTGGGTAGCAGCAATGCTGTGCAGAGAGAGAGAGAGAGAGAGAGAGAGAGAGAGAAGGGCCAAGCAACTCCCTCCCCACTAGCATATTTCCATTGAAACTCACAGCCTCCCACAGCTGCCTTTCATTTGAAACAAAGCAAAATAACACAGGTTTTTCTTTTATCTTTTTTTTTTAAAGCGGCAAACAATCTCCTTTTCCCCTCCTCCCCCACAACAATCTGTGAGGTGAGTGAGGCTGAGAGACTTCAGAGAAGTGTGACTAGCCCAAGGTCACCCAGCAGCTGCATGTGGAGGAGCAGGGACACGAACCCGGTTCACCAGATTACGAGTCCACCGCTCTTAACCACTACACCACACTGGCTCTCAATAACACAGGTTTTTCAGGAGATGGCTACATGATCTACAGTACATCCCCTTGTTTGGCCATGAAGAATAATTATATGTGGTCTGAAATACTGACGTTACCCCTGCCTGACATTTGGAGGGATTTCAGTGTGGACACCTAGAGATTCAGACAAAGGAATAAATTGAGATACTTAGTTTCTAATTCCAATCCAGTGGCCACTTTGACTTCCTCTGGGACTCAAGCAGTCCTAGGCTCCTATTTAATAGACTAAAGTAATATGGCGCACAACACACGGGGGCAAAGGTTGCATCATGTTGATCACCAGGCCAGGAGATGCCAGCCTCTCTTGTACCAATGGTAGGAGAATGCAAGAGCCCCAATTCTAGTGGATGAACGATGCATGTCTGTTGTGTCCAGAGGCATGGGATTCTTTGAAATAAGAACCTGGACTCAGGCTGTGCTTAGAAGATGAGCAGGTTTTGTTTTCAGTTTCTTGCTGACCCACAGATTAGCATTCTTCCTTCCATAATTCCCCTTCTGGTTACTATGGAAGTAATGGCAATGTATTTATGGGTAAATCTTCAGGAAACCTACTGCTCTGTATTGGCCCTCCTGGCTTGCCATACAAGGGACTGCCTGTGTCATCTCTCAGGGACTGGGCTTTTGGGGCCACATCTACACCACACATTTAAAGCAGTACTCGACCAGTTTAAGCAGTTGCTACTTCCTCCAATTATCACGGGAACTGTAGCTTGTGAAGGGGACAAAGAGCAGTTAGGAGACTCCTATTCCCAATTCAGCTACAATTTCCAGAGTCGCTTGGGAAGACCAATTGATAGTTAAATCACCCTAAGCATTGCAGCTCTGTTAGGGGAAGGGGGGGTGTCTCCTAACAACTCTCAACACCCATAACAAATGACAGTTCCTAGGATTCTTTGGGGGAAGCCATGACAGTTTAAAGCTGTGTCATAGTGCTTAAAATGGGTAGCGAGGATGTGATCTTAGCTCCTGTTCTGCATCAAAAGCAGTGGCTTCCTCCTCCACAGACCATACTAATGTTGGTTTCATTGATGTACCCTCTCTGTGGCTTCCTCTTCATGTTGCTTTTCACCTATCTGTCTTGGGCTGGGTCACTCCATGCCCCATGGGACAGCGCTTAAGCCATGGATAGGCAAACTAAGGCCCAGGGGCCAGATCTGGCTCAATTGCCTTCTAAATTTGGTCTGCGGACAGTCCGGGAATCAGTGTGTTTTCACATGAGTAGAATGTGGCTTTTATTTAAAATGCATTTCTGGATTATTTGTGGGGCATAGGAATTCGTTCATTTTTATTTATTTTTTTCAAAATATTGTCCGCCCCCCCCCCACAAGATCCAAGGGACAGTGGACTGGCCCCCTGCTGAAAAAGTTTGCTGACCCCTGGCTTAAGCCCTCTTAAGAGTGTAGTATACAACAAGGAGGTTATGTTAAAATGGTTAATAGACATGGACTGGCGTGGCTACTATCCCTACCACCCAGTAACAATCGGTTAAAGTGGGCATAGGAAGCCAGGGAAAGTGGGACACTCCAGGTTTTGCTCCTCACCTCAGCTCCCAACTGGCACAGAAAGGCAGCCAGAACAGCTCTGCCTGCCACAACGTTGGAGAAGCGTGACAAATAAGCCAAGCAATTACAGCTGTCCCTGGCTGTGAGTGGTGTCAGATGGATCCATCACTCTAATCAGAGCTCTGGCATGTGGAGAAAATAGCTTCCAGATAAGGGTACAGAGCTCTTCCCCGCCTCCCTTTGCGAAAGTCAATTTTTTATTTCATGTTGCAGTAATAGAAAATGCGACTTGGAAGCAAACCTGGGATCACCGAGCCGCTTGGGTTGTTTATTCTCAAAAGCCTCACCTAACAGACTGCACTCTGGGGTGGCGATGTCAGAGAAGGCTCTCTGAGATGGTGGTGGTGGCGGCTGTTTTGAATATGGAGAGGAAATTTGTCCTCGCCACAACAGTCCCCTCTCTGCTTGATTACCTGAAAGGTTAATAGTCTGGAGGAGGAAATTTCTTAAGATGTATTTATAAAACATGAGTTGAGGAGGGGACCAGTTATCTGATGGATCTACAACGGGTATATCAAGACTTCCCCAAATGAGGATGTTGTAAAGGGGTTAGAAGTTGGTGTCCTATGGGGTTGGGATGGTTCCAGCTGCACGTATTTAGTACTTCTTATCAGGCAACCATGGCACTTGAATGATCCCACCATGGGGCCATTTGGCTTCTAAAAATCTCAGAGGGGGATTGTGTGTATTCATGTTGTTCAAGTGTGGGGTAGGGGAGCCTCTGGATAATTCAGCTTCTTGGATTTTTATATGTTCTGAAGAAAGAGCTGAAAGTCTAGCGCTACAGTAAATGTTTCCCCGATTTAAGGCAGGGCAGTTCTGACAACACTTCTGGGAGACACTGAAACAGGTGTATGTCAGAACAGGTATGGGGAAAATTTCATCCTGCAGATTTCACTCAACTACAGCTCCCATCATCCCTGGCCATAGACCATGCTTTCTGGGGCTGATGGGAGTTGGAGTCCAGCAAGATCTGGCAGGCCAATGGTTCCCCATACTGACTTCAGGCGGTGGAATGAAGAAGTTTGTTGGTGTAAGGTACCAGAGAATCCCACAGAAAGCAGAATTCAAGGTGAATACTGGCATTCTTTTGGGAGGTGAAATGTCCATGCAGTTTCCAGGGAAGGTTATCTTCTCAGGATGGTTTTCCACATCCACAGTAATGAATGTGTCAAAGTCCACGTGCCAGTGAAGAGGAGGTTGAAGTTGATTCAAGAAAAGTGGAATAGTGAAGCCCTTGCCCATTACAATTGAAGACAGCCGAAATTATAATGGAACCAGCAGAGTTGTAGAAAATCCTGGACTGACTTTTGCTTCATTCGGAAGTTATAACCTTCCCTAAGTGTCACCCTGGTGGCTTAGTCCACCTCGTTTCTTGTCCCACTCTTTGAGAGTAGCATTTGACAGAAGCCCCACATCCAGAAAGCTGTTGACATCTGCAGATGCCAGGGAAAGATGCTCAGTGGTAGAGATACTGCATTGCAGGCAGAAGCTCCTGTGTTCAATCTCTGGTAAATTTGAGTAGGGCTAGTAATGCCCCTTGTCTGAAGCCAAGGGAGAGCTGCTACCAGTCAACATAGACATTTCTGAACCAGATGGACCAGTGATGTGACTCAGTAAAAGCTACTTCCTATGTTCCTAAACATTAGGAGTAAATATAATTTGTAAAGATTTGGTTGTCTATCCAGTGGCATCCCAAGGATAAGAGGCTAAGGAGGGAGGCTAGTCTTTCATGACTCTGATAAATGTCACAAATGCAGCACTTATTCAGCCCTTGTGGCAGAAAATATAAGAGCCCTGCTGGGTCAGACCAAAGTCCGCATTCACCCCATACATTTAAAGCACCACAATACCACTTTAAAACAGTCCAGACTTCCCCCAAAGAATTCTGGGACATGTAGTTTGTTAAGGTGCTGAGGGTTGTTACGAGACCCCTGTTCCAGAGCTACTATTCCCATAGTTCCCTGGGAGGGGGAACTGATTGTTAAACCACTCTGGGCATTGCAGCTCTGGGGGCGGGAGATAGGGGGTCTTCTGACAACTCTCAATGCTCTTAGTGAACTACAGCTCCCAGAATTCTCTGGAGGAAGCCAGGACTCTTTAAAGTGGTTTCACGGTGCTTTAAATGTATGGTGTGTATGTTGCCCTAGTCTGGCAGTCTGTTACTACAGTGGCCAACTTGGTGCCAAAGGGAAGCCCATGTGTAGGACATGAATCCAGTAGCCCCCCCCCCGCCCATCTTTCCCAGACTTGAAAAGAGAGGTTTATTAACTCACCTGTCCACCCCTCCCGCATCTCCTTGACCATATATGATCCCATTGGAATACCAGGACATGCTTTACTTACCGTACAGAATGATGCTGGCGTTGGTGTTTCCTAGCTGGTTGTAGGCCACACAGGTATAGTTTCCATAGTCCTGCTCAGAGACATTGAAGAAAGTCAGGCGGGAGAAGAAGGCCTTGTTTTCCACTTTCAACCCTTTCTGTCCTTCAATGAGCCTGAAATAATAGGAGATAGCAAAGATAAAAAGAGGAAGACCAAGAAATGGTGACAAGTCCAGGATGGAAGCTAACAGAGTTAGCTGGCGTTGCTGCCTATAACTGACTGCATTCGAGCACCATAATTAGATCTGAGCATTCACCAGGGGGCCAATTCTGATGCCCTTTTTGGGCCCACGTGATCCCTTCTATGGAGAGATTTCATCAAAAACATAAAATTGGAATGGGTTATCTAAGCTATTTATCTGGAGCTGAGAAGCACTTTCGTGACGTGGGATCATTGGATTCAAGCGTCCTTTCCTTCTCCACCTTGCAGATCCTGCCAGAACAAACAGCTCAAGGCAGAAGATTCATTTGCCAGCTGCCTTTTAAGGAGACTCCATTGATTTGTCCACAGCACAGATAAACAATTTGCTTGCAACGTGCACTGGCTCAGTGAATTCCAAAGGAGGAGACTGTGAATTCTAATGCTACACTAGAAAGGACCTTCAAATCAGATTGTAGTAGGGAGGGAGGGAAGAGGCCAGCGAGTTTCATAGTTTAACTATGTGCTGCATGAAGGACTTCCTTTAGTCTGACCTGGATCTTCCAGCATTCAGCTTCCTGGAATGTCCATGTGTTCCAGTGTTATGAGAGAGGGAGAGAAACTTTTCTCTCTCCACTCTCTCCATGCCATGCCTTGTTTTACACACTTCTATCACATCTCCTCTTATTTGTCATTTCTCTAAAGTAAAGAAGATTCAAACAACAAGGAACAGACACTAGGCAAAGGAACAGGATGCAGCTGAAGAACTCTACAAAGTATCTGCTGGGGGAATGAAATCAGGTTGCTTAGAATATTTGGTAGATGTAAGACACTTTAGTTTTCCCCCACAGTTACACCCCCCCCCATAGCCTGTGTCTCCCCTCTTTGGAACCTCATTCCCCCACCCTGATACTCTTGTATGCTGTTTAAAAGAAAAAGACAATGTGTGTGACTCTTTGTTTGTGTGTGTGCTATGCTTAGCTACTTTTCCCCGCAGCCTCTTGCTCTGTGTTATTGCCCTGACTTTTGATCCTGACTGACAGCATATTGGAAGCTCACCACGTGATCCACAACTTAAAACAAATGCCTTAATCAAATGGACAATATCTCCAAATTTGTGTTTTCAGTGGACCTCTGCACTGTGGAGATAATTAGTGGAGGAGAGCTCCAAGGTCTGGGGATTTCTGTGGGAATTACACAAGCAGAGAATGATTCTAATTTGATAAGTAAGTCTCACTCACAAATTGGGGTGGAATTGTTACAGTGGAGCCTTGCTGTACCAATGAACTTTGGCAATGAGGGCTTCTATTAAGCATAATTCCATGTTAGACACACAGATGAGGACATTGGGGTGAAGGGGCTGTGCCACATGCAGTAGATTACCACTTGCTTGCAGTATTATTACTCTTAACTCAGTGCCATCAATCTACTTTGCTGAGCAGCGTACAGGGAAAAGGTCCCTAACTTTAAGGAGCATACAATCTAAGACCCCATATGTGCCCTGCATTTAAAGTAGTACTGTGCCACTTAAACATTCCAGGCTTCCACCAAAGAATCATGGGAACTGTAGTTTGTGAAGGGTGTTGAGACCTGATATTCCCCCCTACATTACCCAGAGTTCCCTGGCAAGGGTGACTGGTTGTTAAACCACTATGGACACTGCAACTCTCTAAGGCAAATGGGACTCTTTTAACAATTGTTAGCACCCTTAAGAAACTATAGTTTCCATGATTCTTTGGGGAACCTTTGACTGTTTAAAGTGGTACCATAGTGCTTTAAACATATAGTGCAGATGGTCTCAATGTTGACAATGGGGATAATAAGAAGTTGGGTGGAAGAAGCAAAAGTGGCAAGCGAGTGTAAAGGCAGGAATTGAAGACAGCGAAGCTAAAGGTAACATTGGACAAATGCTAGCAGATTCCCTTACAAGTTTGGAAGTTAATACCCCTGCTTTGAAACATAAACAGATGGTTGGGTGGGGGGGGTGGGATTCATTCAATTTGCATTTCATTGTGATCTCCTACTTAATTAACACTTTACAAACCAAAACATGAGCGAAACCTTCCAAAATGTATCCTTTTTAAAATTTTGCACTGAAGTTCTCTGAGAAGAGAGAGAGTGTACAAAAGATGTATAGTAGAGGAAATATATATAATAGTGACCATAGCCTCCCTGCCTCCAGGCACATATATGTTAACCAGAATTGCATTGAAAATACATACAGAAAGAGAAAAGAATACAGAAATAGGAATGAGTTTTGTTCTGCAAAGAGTTTTTAGTAGAAAATATGTGCTACCCTATTTATGGAAATGGGAGCAAACTGAATTTAATAAATTTTGGGAAATGAGAAACAGAGGAAAACTAAAAGTGAAATTCATCCTTCCATAGAATTAGCCCCAGTTCTTTATCCACACTCAGTCGCTGAACGACTGCAGAGAAATGTGCTCATCTACCCCACCAGCACCATGCTGACTGTGCTTAGGGTAGAGCGGCTGTCAGTTTTCTAAGACAGCAAGTAAATTCTGATGCAGTGATGGTGAGGATAGGTCCCGCTGAAATATCCTAATATCAGTTACTACTAATCCTTCATGTACCTTTTGTCATCCTTGTACCACTGGAACTCGGCTGATGGAACTGCAGAGGCGTCACACTGGAGGATGCCTTTTTGTCCCACCGGCACCCCGGTGTTCTTAGTATCTGAGATGTATGGCGGGTCTGTAGAGAAAGGGACAAGTTGAGGGGTTGTTCTCTGTGGCTTTGGAAAATCACTTTGCTCTGCTGTTGCTTCAAGATCCTTCCCCTCTCCAGAGTTTTGCTTGTGCCAAAAAGAAACCGCCGACGGCAGAAGGTTCCTTGGCCAGATGCGCTTGAAAAGTCAGTGACCAGATCCTGGCAGTGAACACTCAAAGGCTATTTTGCACACATTCTCAAAGGAACCAGTTCCAAACTAGCTCTTAGACACTACCACTGCCCACACAGTTCCACTTTCTAACTCCTGCCCACTTGATCAATGCATCCTCAACTCTCTGCCACTTTTCAAGTCCTGTTGATGCAAGATGTATGTTTTGAGAATGCTCGTGTGTGCAAATGCATGCAAGTCCATGCAGGAATGTGACAACAAACACATGTGTATGCCTAATTGAATACGGACTTACCTGTGTGTGAATGAGAAATGTGTGCACTTGTCTGAGTTCTGAAATGTGGGGTATGTGTGTAAATCAGTATGCGAGCATGCAGACAAGTGTGACCCATTCATTGGGTGAACTGAACATTTGGTCTAGGCAGCATCATTTCTGCTGGGATGTCACTAGAAAGAGATGCTCCCAATTTACCATGTTACTGTTCAGCCCCCTTTTGGAAGATTTACTGTGGTGCAACAAATGTAGATTTGTAGCTCAAAGGCAAAGCATGCACTTTTCATGCAAAACACCATATCCAGCATTCTTTAGTGGATGGTTGAGTTTTAGTGTTCTGCAACAGAGGAATCCAACACAATCGTTGCACTAGCACAGGCATAGACAAACTCGACCTTCCAGATGTTTTGAGACTACAATTCCCATCATCCCTGGCCACTGGTCCTGTTAGCTAGGGATGATGGTAGCTGTAGTCCCAAAACATCTGGAGGGCCGAGTTTGCCTATGCCTGCACTAGCAGAACTCATGCAACAAAATGGTCAATCCACAGTGCAATAAAGTGACCAGCAATCTGCTTATGCATTCTCGTGCACAATGACATTCTGCTAGCATGAAACCTTTTTTTGCCAGTGAAACATGTATACTGCTACATAACTTTAACTTAGCGCTACATTGGGTACGACTCAGAAGGTTCCAGGTTGGGCCAGCTTCATGTAAGGTAGCTTCATATGTTCTTATTTTATCTCTTGCAGGTATTTAATTTATCTCTTGCAGGTATTAAAAGGTGCAGAGAATATGCCAAGGAAACACAGAAAATGCACCAAGAAAGACTGTGGAAATCCTTCCAGCAGCACCCCCCCCCCACTACTGCTAAGCTGCAGCAACCTACACCCTGCCCTGCAACAACCTACCCAATACTCACAGTTCACTGTGACTTTTACTCTCCGCACAACAGGAGTGGCGACATCGTTGGATGCGCTGCATTCGTACTCCCCTGACTGCTCCCGGGTGATGCCGGTGATCTCCAAGTACTCGTCTTCGCTCATGAATCCCACGGCTGCAGAAGAAAGAAAAGGATCAACCTTGACTATGCAGCAAGACAATATGGCTTGTGAGATACCTAGAAACAGTGTGCAATGTTCTCCAGGGATGCATCTTTCACCTGGCACTGCTGCTGTTGATGGGAGTTCTAGATACAGCCCTTAAAACGATCCTTTCCATTTGTTTGCCTGGATATCTTGATGTGGAGGAAAGGAGCATTATATATAAATGAGGTGGTAGGCAGCCAAGCTTGGCAGGCTGCCATTGATAATCCACGTGCGGAAGACACCAAACCCGCTGGCTCCTTTGAAAATGTGTGTGGGGAGCAGGGAGTTCCCTTCACTGTCAAGAGGAGAAATCCCCGGTCCATGGCTTTCAAGCCGAATCAAAGTGCATACTTAGCCTCATTTAGCTTACGTTGATGACCCCTTTCAGCAGACTTGAGTCATGCATTTGTACACACATTTGTACACACACTGCTTTCCTGCAGTGGTGGGGGCAGTTGGTAAAAGGATAGAGTCTCCATAGTACTATTGATATGTTTAATGTATAGACATAAACTGGTTTTGCCCCAGTTTCACTGCCATGGTTGCCACCGCCACCTCAATAATTTCAAGAACCGGAATGTCATGAAAGGGATAAGCAAAAAGGAATCCACCCCCTTCCCAATACAATTCCCAAGGCTCAAAGGTTGTGCACACAGCATACACTCAAAGCACATGGCTTTTCCCAAAGAATCCTGGGAACTGTAATTTACCCCCAAAGAGCTGCATTTCCCAGCACCCTTCACAGACTACAATTCCCTGCATTCTTTAGGGGAAGCTATTTGCTTTAAATGTATGGTGAGTATGCAGTCTTGGGATAAAGTAAAATGAGATAAACTAGTTTCAAACTGGATTGCATTTGCAGTTCAGACATTCCCTCAAAATGCAAAACCATTAGATTATATCAGCATTAAAATACCTTTGGTATAGTGAGTCATTTTTTTGCAAATTGGAAAGTTCAAGTTTGATTTTGAAATGTGGGGAAAGGAAGGAAGGAACTTTACCAATCCCTTTAAAGGATGGCAGAAGGGTGAGGAGGAAGAGAGACATAAATAGAGCTGTCTTATTTATTTCTCTTAAATCTCCCCATCTTCTTTTATCAAATCTTTTGCAGCCCGGGTGTTGTAATTACTGAGCAGAGCATCTCTGAGACCGGTGTCACACTTAATATTCCTATTAATTTTAAATGTTAGTCCTTGGTACATATGTGTGGCAATTGGTGTCATATTTTAATTAGTCTTGCCCTACACCATCTGAAATTAATAATAGCTCGAATTACCAGTGTAATTTATAAATTAACATTGCTGCAGCATTAGGAAATAAATTAGCTGTGGACAGCTGTTTCTGGAACTGGACGACAATGGCAGTGAGAATGTTTTATGGGGGGGGGGAGACACAGTACACACATATAATGTGCCCCCCAAACAGGGAGTGAGCCAGTTATACAGGAAGAGAAAATGCCCTTCTGCAAATACCCAGGGGCATGCAAAATCTTGCAGTGAGAGCTGTACTTCTGCAGTCCTCTTATAAATGACAGTACCCTTACAGCGCATGGGTGCATCTCAAATACATTCCTGGGAGGGTGCAGCAGTGTGAATGAGAGATGCCTGTGCCAGACAGGACACTGCATAGGGACCATGATGGGAACTGAAATCCCTCTTTACCATTACATTCACCAGTGCCTTCCCATTACTGATTATTTCCTCCCCCTCACCCCAAACGGCAGACTGTACAGAGGCAGCTACGCCTTGAGGCTTCCTGGTTGCCGCAAGAGCTCTGTGAACTCCTGCTACAGGCCAGCAGCACCCACTGGGGGCCTCCCCTCTGTTATCAGGGAAGGAGAGAGGGGGTCTGCAGTGCTCCCAGGGGAAAAAACAACAGAAGCTGGAAATGTCAAGCAGTTACTGAACTATTTCTCCCCAAGTCCTTCCCCTGGAGAGACACAGAGCCAGCAGGAAGGAAACTCCTCAATGTCTCTGCTTTCCCTCCTTCCAAGGAAAACAAGCTCTGGGAAAGTGCCTGGAACCCTTTGAATCTCTCGTCACTCAGAGATTGGGGGGGTGGGGGTGGGATGCAACAATACAAAAGCTGTCTTCCACACCTCTGATAAAGCAAAGGTTCCTACTGATCCCCAGAGGGTTGCTGCAACCCCAAATTATAACCTGTGCAAACATGTCTAGCAGTGCCTCTCTGACTCTGTCTCCCCCATGGGGTGAGCCCCATGCACCAGACCACTCTCTCTTTCACACACGCCAGCAATATTATTAGAGCCCTCCTGTCAAAGAATGATGAATTTGGACAGGATTGCCAGGAAAACCACCTGTAGCCAATGGATGGCCCATGTGTATAACTGACAGGTCCTGATCTCAGACCCCTCCAAGTGTCCCTATTTTCTAGGGACAGTCCCAGATTTATAGAAGCCATCCCAGTTTCTGATTTGATCCTGGAATGTCCCACTTTTCCTTAGGACATCCCTATTTTCATTGGAGAAATGTTGGAGGGTATGGAGTTAAGTGACTCCTGAGCCAAGGAGGTAAGTAACTATACAACCTTCAGAAAACATCTGAAGGCATCTGCTTAATGTTGTATAATATATATATATTGGAAGCTGCCCAGAGTGACTAGGCAACCCAGTCAGATGGACAGGGTATTATTATTATTATTATTGCTATTATATAGAACATCCCTATTTTCATCAGAAAAATGTTAGAGGGCTTGTGATCTTATTTTCTCAAGGCTGCAGATCGAAAACAATGGTTTCTCAAGACAACAGCCTACTATAAATGTGGGCAGCTTAAGCATGCTTTCTGAATATGTAGCCATCCTTTACTAAACCCTCATGTCTCCTATAACGTGATTTGTTCCTTACCTTGGAAGGAGAAAGGATTAAGAGCCCTTGTAACAGAAAGAGCCTTGCTTTGCTTTTCAGAGAATTGTTTTAAAAGAGGGTACTTAGTTAACTTCTCAGCCAAGTCTTTCACAGAAATGAATAAATTGGATGGATCTACTCAAGTCAGAAATAGTCGCTGCCCCCTGTGGCCTTCCATACAAAAACTCAGACCTTGTTCTTTTATTCCCCGCTAACCTTTGCTTAAAGTCAACTTTTTGGAATATGGTAACTTTGGTAAAATTCTCATGAGTTTTCAGGGTTTTTGTTGAGATTGATTTACTTTTGAGGTGGCTGGTAGGTGTTTGTGTGTGTGCTTTCTTCCAATTATCTCCCCAGTGGCCTGCGCTCTGCAGCTTCCCTGAGTGTCCAGGCTTCAGTGAAAACCCAGAGAAAGGTATCATGAGGCAACTTCTCCCAAGCGGCTTTTTTTCAGATCAGGAAGCGCAAAAAGCCAGGGCACAAGAAGAGTCCCACTGGGTGAGACCAAAGGCCTGTCAGTACTCCAGCATCCTGTTCTCGCAATGGCTAACCAGATGCCTGTGGGAAACATGCAAACAGGGCCTGAGGACAAAAACATTCTCCCTGCCTCTGGTTTCCAGCAGCTGGCATTTAGAGGCATACTTCCTCTGACAGTGGAGGTAGAACATGGGTAGGCAAACTAAGACCCGGGGGCTGGATCCGTCCCAATCGCCTTCTAAATCTGGCCCGTGGATGGTCTGGGAATCAGCGTGTTTTTACATGAGTAGAATGTGTGCTTTTATTTAAAATGCATCTCTGGGTTATTTGTGGGGCATAGGAATTTGTTCATTATTATTTTTTCCCAAAATATAGTCCAGCCCCCCACAAGGTCTGAGGGACAGTGGACCGGCCCCCTGCTGGAAAAGTTTGCTGACCCCTGAGGTGGAACATAGCCATTGTGGCTAGTAGCCATTGATCGCCTTTTCCTCCATGAATTTGCCTAATCTTCTTTTTAACAACATCCAATTTGGGCAGCTTCTGGTGCAATGTTTCCTGGAAAGAGAGAAGAAAGCACACACCACCCGCAGGTTTTTTTGCCGCCACAAGGTAATTTCAAAACCACGCACCAAACTTCTGTGGAAATTATAACACGCTCTGAGAACAAAGCAGAAAAATTGGAGCCTCTTTCACAGGGGAAGAACATTTTAAAGAAATTGGAAGGTGGGTTTATTTTTTGTTTTTTTGACACAGCATTAATTTTAATTCCTACTCAGGGGACTCACTCAATGAATTGAAAAGGAAGGTAGGGGTTGAAGTTCAAGAGGGGGGGAAACAAGTCTGAGAAGTCCCACACATTCCAAATCTTCCGCAAACACTCACACCTCTGCCTCAAAAATTCCTGAAGAGCAGCTGTGCTAGCTGGTTGTGGCAAAACAAAATGAGTCCTGTCACACCTTGACGAATGACTAATAAATTGTGACAGCAGCTTTTGAAGGAAAGAGCATATTTCCTCAGTCTGCCCCTCAGACTCTTCTACCTCACAGATGAACTTTTTAGAGCACCCCTTCCAGAGAAGCCAGAAAGGAGCTGAGACTTGTTGATGCATCATTATGCAACCTGTGCCTTCCCTATTGCCGTGATGATGAATTGTTAACATCCGGATGCCTCTGAGTTCCCAGTTCTGGGATTCCCTTAGCACCCTCCCTTAGCTTTGGGGGAGAAAATGCTGAGCTCATCAGTATCCAGCATAACCGAAGGGCATGGTGTTGAAGGCATTATTCCAAAATCAATATCCTTTGGTTTGGGTGGAGGGGTTGCGGGTGGGAGGGAAAAAAAAAAAAAAACACAACTGCAGTTTTGTGTTCCAAGAGCTGCCCTGAATACACTGAAATAAATACACATGAAAATGGGGGAAGGATCCCTTTATGACTGACCTAGAATCGGCGTCCCAGTAGAACAGTGTGTTCTGCTGATAAAGTGAATATGCTGCCAAGAGCCTGAATACAGTCCATGCACAAATTTCACTTCTCTCTGTATTATATATATATATAGGCAACAAAAAGCTTGCTGGCTTCCTAATTAACAAAGAACTGAATTTCTTCCCTCAAGTAGATGCAGGCCATT